ATATATATATATATATATATATATATATATAGTAGGTATATTTGATTCGATTTATTTTATTTAATTATAATATATATGTGTGAGTGTTTATATGTTCACTAACAGTAAAATTTCACTTTATGTAATCGGCAAGTTCAGAATTGGATTTTTCTAATTATGTAAATTAGTATATTTAAAATATAAGGAATTCCAATGAAAAGAAAGTTTTCATTGAAATGACAGCAGGGTAAATCTCTCTACCTCCCTTTTTGATAATTAATTTTTGTAACAAAAAATGTCATTAAAAAAATTATAGTTTGTCATTAAATGTCATAGAAAATTTCTTTGTCTCGTATGTTTTGTACAAAATTATGGAATTTGAAAGTAAGTGTTTTTTTGTGATAACAAGTATACACTTCAAAGTTAAATCGTCGCCTCAATACTACAACTAGGTAACTCAAATATAACACTTCTGAGAAAAACGCATTTAAAGATTTTTGCAAAGTTTGAATTCCTCTCTAGCCTAAAATTGACAAAATAATAAAGCCATATTCCATTTTTAACATTCTTACCTTCTTTACTAACCATCCATGAGGTTTAATAATGTATATATTTTCCAAGATTAAGAATATCAGGAGAAAAGTTGGAAAAGTCCCAGTTATCTAGTTGTTGCATATACCAAAATCTCAGTTATGTACTTGTTGCAATATATATGTTCTTGTATTGGCCCTTGTTTTTGTTAAAAAAAGAACTACTAGAAGTTATTTTTCATTTCTTAAGGTAAAAGTATAAACTGTTACACATAAAAAATTAAAATTAGATAGGTACAGTTGCGGTCACGGAATAGTTTACAGGTTCACGTATCTAGGAGCCCATTTTTTAAATTTTTACTTCGTTTAAACGCACCTTTTACGTCAAAGTGACGTTGCCAGTGGTGTACTAGCTAGAATAGGTAGATTAAAATTAAAATATCAAAATATTTTACAAAATGAAAAATATAGAAAACAGTTTTTTGAATAAAATGGATTATGATCTTAATAACGAAAATAAAGAAGTCTTTTTTTTAATATGCATTTTATTTTAAATCTATTTTATATTAAATAACGATAAACAATGATAAATAATAATTAATATTTGGTGGAAGCCCCATTCTTGTCAATACAATTTTGCAGTCTTCTGTTCATAGATAGCACCAATCCCCTCATGTTATAGTTAACAAGCTCTTCCCATGCCTGCTCAATTGCTTCCCATAATTCAATTCTATTCCGTGGTCTAAGGTTTCTTTCATTTAGTTTCTTTGTTAACTCTGCCCACACATTTTCGACGGGGTTAAAGTCTGCACTACGGGAAGGCCACGGAAGAACATTAACATCAGTTTCTTCTAGCCATTCTCGAACAATTCTACTCGTATGCACCGGGCAATTGTCATGTTGGAAGATAAAGTCGTTGTTGGGGAATCTCTGGATCACCGATGGCAACATTGTGTGCTCAATAATATGTTTGTAATATAATCCTGTTAACTTCTCCTCTACATGATAACAAACGCCCGGGCCTTCGGCACTTATCCATCCCCATACGTTGACAGAGAATCCTCCACTATTTCTTAAATGATGCGTATACTGTTCATCATACCTATGATTTCTCGGCCTATAAACTCTTATTTCGACCATTATTATACGACTGAAATACTTTTTCATCGGAAAATACAACCCTAGACCAAAAATTCTCATCGCGGTTTATAAATTCATTACAAAATTCAACTCGTCTCCTCTTGTGATCCTCAGTCAAAAAAGGTTTCCGTGCAGCTACACAATTTAGCAGTCCACTTGCTTTAATTCTTCGACGTGCAGTGCGAATACTGCCTGGAAACGCTGCCTCTTCTCTTGCCTTTTGAGCTGTGGCAAAAGGAGATTCTCTCAAATAATCTACTAACATCTCATCCTGTTGATCTGTGGAAATCTTCTGCCCTCCTGAACCGCCCAACCGTGCTATAGAGTGAAAATTATCCCATCTTTGTTTAATCTTCCATATGCACATATGACTCACGTTCAAATCAGCAGCAACTTGCCTTAGTGACCAACCTTCTTCGAGTTTGGCAATTGCTCTTGCTTTTTGCGCATAATTCGAATGTATTCTAACCATTTTGGAAGAGTTTAATATACTTTTATTTTATTGTTGAACACTCGCGAAAGCATTGACGTTTTGAAATTTTTTGACTTTGACATTTTATCAAATCCGTACGACACTGCAATTTTACAGTATTACAATATAAAAAGTAAGGTGTAAACTATTCCGTGACCGCAACTGTACCTACTAATATTTAAAAAAATATTTACAAAAAACTACTTTATGAATATTGATGTGAAACAATTTGTAATTTCTGAGGAGGCACAAATAGAGAAGTTCTTTAAGGGTCACCTTCGTAGTCTTGACCATCATCTATTTTACTTGAATCTTCTTTATTGTCGTATGGCAGACTGGTGTAAAATGGCCTGTAAGAATCTCCCAAAGCAGGTAGTTTCACAGAATATCAGATCTTTATATTTTTGTATAGATATTGAAACCAGTTGTTGATACAAAGGTTGTAAAGGCGACTGAATTGAAGTGCGGGTCCGTTTGATTTAATTTAAGTGTCTAAAACCTTCATCAGAAAATAATACTTTGAACTCCATAATAAACGGCTGTGACTTCCTAAATCTTAGCCAGCACATCTTTTGCCAAAGAACAGCGATTCCTTTTTTATCCTTTTTCCGAATAGTTAAGTTATTCCCTACAAATTTTTTGAAATCTTTTATGTCTGATTGATCCAAATCATGAACAAAATAAGGTTTGTCTCCCTTTCTTCTGGCCTCCTGAGCAATTTGCTTTCAATCTTCAGGCCACAAAGCTTTCCCTGCACGTTTAAATTCTGTGTTAATTGCAGAGTGAATGGACTCACATTCCATCTCACTGTGCTCAGAAACCAAGAACTTCATATAAATGACTTTCAGGTTATTTAAATCATTTACTGCCTTCATTAACATTGTTGCAGTAAACTGATTCAAGTTTTTGGCCTCCACGTATGTCACTAAAAAAGGTGACACAGGTTGTTGTTTTTAAAAGTGATCTAAGATAAAGATAAATTGCACTGGCTATTTCACAACTTCCTCGAGCTCCTTGAGTCTCATATCAAATGAAACAATCTCCTTGCTTACTGACAACGTTGTAAATGGTGAAGTTGTAGTTAGCAAGCCTATGTTTATAGAAGAGTGCATTATTTGTTGGATTATAGGGTACTAATAAAACTTGCTGGAGATAAAAATTGGCACATATGTGTGATTCACATATTAGAAAATTCAGCATCACTTCTATCTTTTAAGTTTTTCGGTTCTAGCTTTATCCTTAAAAAAGAGATAAGCTTCATAATCTATTTTAAGCAACGGTTTCTCATCAGTGGTTGCACTAATATAATGAGAACAAACACGACACTGAACTTTTTTAGGATGATGTAAACCTAGATTGAAATTTTCATTAAAAATTTTTCTATACATGGCCAAACTAACTTTTTCTTCAGCTCTTGAATCACACAATTCACAATAAAGTCTATACATCAGAGTAATATTTAAGGATGAATCAAGATAATGTCATTCAGTAGATGATAGACTATAATGGGTAGGCACAGTAGGAAAGCTTTCAATATGTGAGTTAACATTTTCCAAAACTGTTGAATTAGTTACTTTTTTCACGTGTTGTTCCCTATTATCACCCTCTGTTTTATTTTCAGATACTCGCTTTTTCATAGTAATATTAACTACTCCCTTCTTAATTCCTAGTGTATTGATAAACATCGTCTTACAAACTTTATTTCTTTCATTATTCTTCAGGAGAAAAAATGTTACTGAAACGTTTCGTTTAGACTGTAATGATGTAGTACATTTTTAGGATTTTTATCTCTGTTACTGTGAATAAAATCCAGTTGTCTATTATAATTTGCCAGTGCATAGTAACCTTGGAAAATTCTCGTTCTGTCCAATTCAGTTAGTTTACTAGAACACTGATTTCGGGAGTTGGTGGGGCAAGCAGGTTTCATTGATACTTCAGGAATGCTTTTGTTTCGTGAAGAAACATAAGCTTCCCCTTTGGCACTTTTCTCTTTACGCAGATTTCAGAAAACAAATAAGTAATTATTCATGAAAATATCTAATGGACAAAATCTTCGTCAATGGTGACAACTCAGTGGTCGTATTTTTCAAGTGACCTTACTTACGTGCTACAACTAGGTAAGTGTAGTTGTATAGTTGTGTGACTATCAGCTTAGTCATTAAATGTGCAACAAGTAGATAACTTAAGATATTGAGTTGTAGTATTAAACGAAGGATGACTTATAAAGTTATCTACTTTTAAAAGTTAGTTATATTGACTCATAGGGTTCGTTTTGAATTATCTAGTTGTAGCATAACATGAAGATGATATATTTACATCTATTGGTAAACTTATCCCAAAAATGAAAATTTTCGAGTTATCTAGTTGTAGTATTGAGGTGACGAAATATAAGTCTCATATCATATTATATTAAAATTAACTTTTACAAGTCACTACAACAGTTTGAACGATACTGAATGCTAAGCTAGGAAGTCAATGAGCAATTTATCTCTCCCTATATTATAACAACGTTGATCTACTATTCCTTTCTACCGGTCCTAGTATGCGATGTTGTCATGTATGACTTTTACAAAGATTATTATCGTACTTTAAATGTTTTCTATATATAAGTATTGTATATAAATATAACATTATACATAAATATTGATGTTACTAAATACATTTTATTATATACCTTAACAAATATAAAAGGATCATTAATATGATAATTTTGCTGCATGTCAATGATTAAATTATAAATTGCTAGAATATCTATCATAACAAACTGGCAACGATGTTGTTGCTTTATCGCATTCACAGTTCGGAGAATTTACTGCCTACAAGCAGTAACTTTACTACTTTGATTCTCAAGTATATAAAAAACCTTAATAGATATTTACTTGAGTTTAGCATAGTAGAAATCATGTGGAATAGCAGTAAGTACTCCGGCACCATCACCGGTATCGTTATCACAGGCGCATGCGCCACGATGGTTCATAGACACAGCCAATCGTTGAGCATCGCGAACTATTTTATTTTGACGTTTACCATCAATAGCAGCTATAAAGCCAACACCACACGCTTCTCTTTCGAACTGCGGGTCGTACAGGCCCTGCTTTGGAGGAGCCTGCCACGATTCAGCCATTTAATTTCTGAAACAAAAAACACTTGTGAAAAAGATCCAATATATTTGATATTTCAAAAGTAAGAATACACATAACGTCAAAATATAAATACTAATTTCTTAAAAGTTGGGAAATGGTAAATCTAATAACCAATTTTTAATGGTGGTTTAACCACGGAGAAAATCCGTGGTAAACTGTAGAAGGAAGGTAAAAAATATAAAAAAAATCACTGTTGTTAAATTAAATCAATTTTCGATGTATACCAAACATTATGCTTAAACAGTAAATACAAGTCTGACATCTGTGTGCCTAGAAAATAAGCCTTTTAACCAATTTACGACCAAAGTCGTAATCTGTCTATAGTAAAATTCACATTCAAATAGGAATCAGCATTTGTCAGATTTCACCCCATATACTTGGCAGCACAAACAGGTCCAAGTAATGGTAACGTAGAGAATCCTACAAAGATTTTTACGGCGGTGCTCTATTACGAGTAAAACTCCGTTGTTTCATTTTAATTTATAATGCAAACTAGAATAAAAGAGAGAGATCTTAGATATTTATTATAATGTAGCGAGATTAAATAAAACGAGCGGTTCGAATTTATATAAATATATTTATTTATAACTTTACAGTTCGGTACTATCTTATAAACTAAACTTAACTCCTAATTTCGTTACATGTATATACCAAAATATTATGTTCGAGAATATTCGGGACTACTCCCACCTCTAATTCGTTATTTGACGGGTGAAATTTTACAGCACTTTGATATATCGCCGAAACTTCTGGGTATTTCGAGATGCGACCGTTAGGCGAGCCACGCTGAATGCATGTTCGTAACACTGCTCCCCTCTTAGATCTGAGCGTCCCGATCAGGAACTCTATCTATAGGCCCAGGATATCGGAATCTACAGGACTCTCCAGCTCTGCATGAACCCCTCAGAAAGAAATAACAGTCTACTGTCTTTGAAGGACACGATCTCTTCGGATTAATGCAACACACAGTAATTCTTACACCGGTTTCTCGGAAGATCACTTCAAGCATGCTTCTGACAATTTTCCAATCCAGATTATCTAGTGCATGGCCTATCTTGGGTAAAGCCACGTTCTTAATGTCGTAATTGCAGACGATTTTCTTCAAATTAGTTAGAGCACACCATATATCCTCGTAGGTTGCCCTGTCTGTATACGACTTCCTGGTCACCATATACAGCAAAGATCGAGAACCATCTTCTAATCTCAGCACTCTTCCAACTTTAGGCTACTGGTTTTTTAACTCGTCTAAGCGACCAAATTTCTTATAAAATACGGATGAGATTCCTTTAGTCATCTCAAGATCTTGGGCAACACAGTGGGCTAGAGTGACGTTATGCGGAACACTAAAAAGATCCTGCTGAACTTTTGTCGTCACGCCGAATCTAGCACTCTTTCTCTCTACGTAATTTGACATAAACTCATTAAAGCTTGGTCGCCGATCATCTTTGATTTCATGTTGAAGGATTCGGACGTCTTCGGTTTCATTTGAGCCAGCATAAGGTGCAAGACGATTTATGTGAACTACTTTTGGTTTACCTTCCGGCAACTTCTTAATTCGGTATATTACGTCATTTATTCTCTTTTTAATTTCATACGGACCCTCCCATTGTCTTTGCAGTTTAGGAGACAAGCCACGACAACGTTGGGGATTATAAAGCCAAACAAGATCACCTACTTCATAGCTTTCATTCTTGCATCGAGAATCGTATTGATCTTTCATTCTGCCACTGGCTAACTGGATGTGTTGTCGGGCAAGTTCATGAATGTTGTTCATTCTTAACTTTAGGCGGTCGACATAATCTTCGCTTGCAACATGTTCTTCGCAAGGTGTCTGACCTAACATCAGGCAGGTTGGAGTCTGGCCGGTACTTTCATTCACGGCCGAGCGGTAGGCCATTAGGAATAAATGAATGTGCTGGTCCCAATCTCTTTGATGTTCTGATACAACTTTGGACAGGTGTTGTTTACCCATCGTTCGGTTCATTCTCTCGACCATTCCATCTGATTGAGGATGCAGGGGTGTCGTTCTGGTCTTATTGACACCAATCAATTTACAAACGTTTTGGAAAAGGGTTGACTCGAAGTTTCGCCTTTGGTCGGAGTGGATCTCCACCAAATCGACTGAAGAATTCTTTAACAAGTACCTCTGCAACGGTAGCAGCTTCTTGATTTGGTATCGCGTTGGCCTCAGTCCATTTCGTAAAATAATCCATAGCTACCAGGATATATTTATTCCCATCATTCGTTTCTGGAAGTAGACCTGCAATGTCGATTGCTACTCTTTCCATATGACTACCAACATTGTACTGTTTCATAGGTGCCCTCTTTTTACCAACTGGACCATTACTGGTTGCACACAGTTCACATTTCCGGCACCATCTTCTTACATCATCCTTACAGTTCACCCAATAGAACCGTTCTCGAACCTTGTGCAGAGTCTTCGTAATACCAAAGTGTCCACCTGATGCACCGTCATGTAACTGACGCAATACTTCTGACACTTTACTTTTAGGTACAATTAACTGAAGCTTAGATTCTGTACCATCATCGTTCTCAAAGGTTCGATACAGAAGATCATCTTTTAGCACTAGGCAATACCATTGGCTCCAGTAACACTTGACTTCGGGACTACATGCACTAATGTCTTGCCAAGAAGGTCTTTCACTTCGACGCATCCAATCCAACACTCTTTTTATACACGAATCATCTGCTTGAGCGTCTTGTAGCTGTTGTGGCTGCCATTGATCATTAATGACGGTGGTTCGTCTCACAGGGCAAAGTCTTTCTTCTAATTTAAGACAGTGATTACAATGTTCACTGCACGGCCGTCTCGAACGCGCATCAGCATTTAAATGAACTCTTCCAGCCATGTGTTCATCTCGTAATCATATTCTTGTAATCGTTCTAACCATTTGCCATCTGGCCCTCTTAATTACGGAATTGTAGGAGACATTTTAGAGCAGCGTGATCCGTACGAAGAAGAAACTTTCTGCCATACAAGTATTTGTGAAAATGCTCGCAAGCCTTTACTACGCCCAGCAATTCTCTCCAAGTAACGCAATAGTTTCTTTCTGGTTTCGACAAGACTTTGCTAAAGTAAGCGATGACTATCTCCTGCCCATCTTGGATTTGGGAGAGAACAGCTCCTATTGCACTGTTGCTGTTAATGGCTTGGAGATGTTGGCAAATCCTTTGACAAAACGTCGGTAATATGTACATAGGCCAAGAAAACTTCTAGTTTCGTGTTTATCTCTTGGTACTGGCCAATCCGTAATTGCTGCAAGTTTTTCAGGATCAGCTGTTACACCATTACTTGCTACAATATGTCCCAAGTACTTCACTTCTCGTCGAAACAAGTGCCATTCCTTCGGACTCAACTTCAAATTCGCTGCCCGCAATCGTTGAAAGACTTCTGTCAGACTATTGGCATGTTCATCGAAGGATCTTCCTACTACAATTACATCATCCAAATAAACCAGGCATGTTTTCCATGTTAGACCTCTTAAAACCGACTTCATTAATCTTTCAAATGTGGCCGGGGCATTACATAAACCAAAAGGCATAACTGTGAACTGCCAAAGCCCTGATCCTATCGAGAATGCGGTTTTCTCACGATCAGCTGGCTCCATGTCTACTTGCCAATATCCACTTTTCAGATCGAGTGTGGAGAACCAACGAGAACCAGAAAGTGTATCCAAAGTATCGTCTATTCTGGGCAAAGGATAACTATCTTTTTTAGTTACCGAATTGAGCTGTCGGTAGTCAATACAAAAATGTGTTAAACCATCTTTCTTTACTAGCACGACTGGTGATGTCCATGGACTGTTTGATGGTTCAATTACCCCTTGTTTGCTCACATCTTTGATGATGTCTTCGGCTTCATCTCTTTTCGCAAATGGAAGTCGTCTAGGTTGTTGTCTGATTGGCTGAGCGTCTCTGGTATTAATTTTGTGCTTTACTATGCTTGTTTTGCCATTATCCTTCTTATCAATGGCAAAAACATCTTGAAATTCTATTAGCATAGACTTCACTTTTTTAGTTCGTTCATCAACAAGATCTTGGCACGTTTTAATCATCGTCTCAACAAGCTCCTTTGGATACTTAGATTTCGACGGTTTCTCATTAGTACTCATGGAACAAATCGAAGCCACGGGAACACACTGTCCGATCAAAGTTCTTTTACTTAACTTAATAGCAGTTCCCTTTAAATTTATAACTCTTACAGGAACGACATCTCGAATTTTTACCAAAGCTTTTGCCGTTACAAACTCGGCATTGTTCACATCTTAGACCATCCTTAAACTTCCCTCTCGGCAGTAACCATCGCGTTTTGTCATCAAAATTTTCTCACTATTACCGGGTATTGTTACGTCGCAAGTAGTTATTAAGCTGATAACATCTTCTTTGTCTGCATGAAACGGCAACTCTTCACCACTGATCTGGAGAACTCCATCTTTGACATTCAATACAGCCCCAACTTTCCTTAGTAAATCCATCCCCAATATGAACTCGTCGGAGATCTCTGCAATTAATACTCGATGTTTCACTGTGGTCTGGCCAATGGCTACTGACATATTAGCCTCGCCATATGTATTAATTATCTCACCAGTTGCTGTTCTAAGCTTTACTGTTGCAGGCGATAATTTAAGATGGTCTCGTACTACTTCTGGCCGTGCTATAGTTCTTGTTGCACCTGTATCTACCAAAAACGATATACATTTATTAATAATACGACCCTCGATGTACAAGCTATGAATTCCACCGGAGGACGTAATGTTTACAGTTACTATGGGGGATGTGTTTCTCGAGGTCGGCAGTTGCCCCTTAGTGTCGACTCGTTCTAGTTTTCCGACTGTTGTATCATTTTCTTGCAATTACGGCGAATGTGACCTACGTCACCACAATTCCAACATCTGGGCTCGCGTCTCTTCGGCATCGTGTTATGAACTATTTTTCGTACCATTTCTTCTAGACGTTCATCGTTTGGT